GCTCAAGTGGACATCATCAGGCACAGGAGAAACAGATCATGAAGTGGTCGCGTGTCTTAGAAGTGGTGGATTGGGCCCCCAATTGGTTGTAGATTCGCAAATATAAAAAAAAAATATATATATATATATGTGTGTGGGTGTGTGGGTGTGGGTGTTTTTCCGAACGCGTAGCGAAGAATTCTAGGGTCTGGGGGCAGCCTGTTGTTCGCGACTCGTTGTTGTAGCGACCGCAACCGTAATATTAGGGCGCTGTGGCGGTGACATTAGGCGAATCTTTTGGAGAGGGATTTGGATGGAAGCACGACGTGTTTGTGTCATCTCAAAAAACGGGGAATCCTGTGGAAACGACACACGTTGAAGTGTGGAGGATGATTCACTGCGCAGGTGCAGCGTTATTGTGAAATCCTCAGCTTTCTTCGCGGTCAGATTTGGGATTGGCATTTAGAGGGCTGTGTTTTTGGGATGTTGGATGTGTCTGTGATATTGGGATTTGCAATCCAGACTGTGCTTCGAAGCTGCGTTTTTTTGACAAGTCTCAGCTAAAATGGCTGCTCAGAACGTGTCGAAATCATTCCAGCCGTGTGGTGCGGTGCAAATATTGCTGAAGACATGAAAATGTCATGTCGCCATTCTTCGTGGCAGGCGCAGGTAAGCGTGAGGTTGTGATGATTTTTTTGGTGGAGGTGAATGTCGCTGTCCGGCTGGGATTCGCGCGTCGGCGGTTGTGATTTTGAGGGGCTGGGATTGCAAAACTGTTTGTTTGAATGTGTTGTCTCTGATGAGATTTTGTCGCATGACTTCTGGAGGAAGTCTCGCGCGAAACGCTCATGTTGCAGACTTGAAGTGTGAGTTTTGAAACAAATTTCGTGCGAAATGTTCGTTTTACAGACTTGACGTGTGACTTTTGGAAGAAATCTCGTACAAAGCGCTCGTTGTGGGGACTTAGTTTTGTACGAAACACCGAGACGTTCATTTTGGACTTGACGCGTGACTTTAGAGAAAGCAAAAGTGCCCCACAAGAGTGTCAAAGTGCCCACAAGAGTGTCCCACAGAGTGTCACGCGAGAGTGTGCGACAAGAGTGTTCTATCATTAAGAAGCCGAACTCATCAGACAGAACCGAAATCCTTATATAAACAAAAATCAGCAACAAAAAAATATACAACAATTAAAAAAAACACATCCACACTCAGGAGAACAGGTCTTCTCAGGACAGGACTCCAAAATAACAAAGCAAAAATAAAATGTATAAAAGAGAAACAATGTGGAAGGAAACAAATCAAGTAAGGACCCGCGTGAACAAACAAATAAACAACCAACAGTGTGAATAAATTGTTTAGTCTGGCCTGGAAGTTGCAAGCTACTGAAACTGAAATCCTGTGTGGAGGGATCCTGTGTGGGAGGGGTTCTGTGCTGTGGGATTGTGGCCGACTAGCTGGTTAGCCCGCTGAGTCTTTTGAAGGACGCCTCGTGGAAATTGAATTGTCATTTGTTTTCCTGGGGTGGCCCCTGCAAGAGGAGGATTTGATGTTTTTATTGTATTTTTCTGGATTGAATCTGAGTTTGAATTCCAATTTGAACTTTTGTGCAGACTGAGTTCCCATTTGAGTACTGATTTGAGTTTTGGTAAAGCTGGGCGCCAAACTGAGTCTCAATTTGGGACTTGATTTGGGTCTAGATTTAAGTTTTAAAGGGAAAACGCTGGTTCCAGTTCGAGCCTATCCCACCCTAACTACCTGGAAATGGTGTTGGTCCCTAGACTCCAGCTTGGTAGGCTCCTAGGCTCCTTGTCGAATCAGAGATTGAAGGAAACAGCTCACAAAGTCACAAAGCAGCAATCACTGAGTGTTTTGCTGAGTCTGGCTTTGTTTTTTCCTTTGTTCAACCAACCTTCTGCTATTTGAGTCTCCAGTTGAGTCTGTTTTTGTGCTTGTTTTTTTGAATTCTGGGACTTCTGGGTTTGGGCTGAGTCTCGGTTTGCTTTTTGTGTCAGTTTTCTTTCGGACTATTTTTTGTGTAATGAATTTTTCATCTCGAACCTCTTCTGTGTGAGGGTTAGGTTTCGTAACTATCACACAACACAACAAGAGTGTTACACAAGAGTGTTCCACCAGAGTGTCCCACAAGGGTGTCCCAAAAGAGTTTTCCGCAAGAGTGCCCACAAGAGCGCCCTAGACGTTTCCTACAAGAGTGTTCCACAAGCGTGTCCCACAAGAGTGTCCCACCACCAGAGTGTCGTACGTGAGTGTCTAGCAAGAGTGCCCCACGAGAGCTTTACACAAAAGCTCCCTAGAAGGGGTCTCACAAGAGTGGCCTACAAGAGTGTCCCACAAGAAGCGGCTTCTGGCAGCTGTGGCCTCAGAGCTGGCAACTTGCAGTACACATGTAGTACGGGAAACGGCTTCTAGGAGCTGTGGCGTCAGAGCTAGCCACTTGGAGTTCCAATGTTGTACGAGAAGCAGCTTGTGGTGGGGGAAGCGGCTTTTGGGAGCTGTGGCCTCAGAACTGGCCACTTGGTAGTACAGATGTATAGTATGGGGAGCAGCTTCGCTTGAGAACTGGCAGCTTTGTAGTACATATGTAGTGCGGGAAGCAGCTTCTGGGAGCTGTGGCCTCGGACTTGTAATGCGAACGTAGCGCGGGATGTGACCGAATCACTGTGTTTCGCGGCCTTGGTGGAAAGTGCGTTTGCGTGAGTCCGTGCTTTTGAGGAAAGGAAAACGTGCTTGTGTAAATTGGGCGCGTCGCTGGGGAGCGGCACGACTGGAGGTGTCCACGAGGCTGGGTGTTACATTGTTGTGTCTAGTCTGCGGCACACCACAAGGGTGTCGCACGAGAGTAGCCCACAAAGAGCTTTCCACAAGAGCGACTTTCCACAAAAGTCTCCAACAAGCGTGTCCTACAAGAATCTCCCTCAAAAGCGTTATGCAAAATTGCCCCAACGAGTGTCCCATAAGATAGAAGAGTAGAGTGTCCCCCCACACCGTGCCACAAAGGAGCCCCGCAAGAGTTGCACACAAGAGTGTCCCGCAAGAGCGCCCACAGTTTCCCACAAGAGTGCCCTAGAAGACTGTCCCACAAGAGTATCCCACGAAAGTGTCACACAAGACTGTTCTACAACAGTGCCCCGCAAGAGCACATAGTTTTTTTTACAAGAGTGTCAAACAATGTTTGGCCGTTTTTTTCGAGCGCGTGCTTGCATTCGGGTTCGTGGGTTTCATTTTGTTTTTACGTCAGTGGCATCAGCAAGCTACTTCATGGTGCCTCATGATGTTTGCCCCCGAAGGCCTTCCCACCGACATGTGCCTCGATTGTTTTGTGCTGCAGTTGGGTTGACGCACTTTGGAACAGGCAGCTTGCATCTTGCCGCACGAAAGCACCTTGCCATCGCAAACTTCGGTCTGCCCTGCGGACAGGGCAGAGTTCAGTTTTGTGAGGCGCTTAGTTAGTTGACTCGATCCTGTTTCCATCCTGCATTGAAGTGCGTTGTTTTTTGTAACATGTGCTCTACATCCAAGCTAGTTTAGTCTATATAGTCTTACCAAACTCCTCATAAGTTCATGACCTGCCCCAGCTGCATGCTGACTAGCCATGCCTCCCAAGGTGGAGTGGCTTTTTACAAGGTCTTTGGTTCGACATCGGCAAGCTCGAGATCCATCACTTTGGTGCCCAACCCCTCGTGTAAAAGTGCGGCAAGTGGAGAAGGTTGAAAACAGGCCCCTCGAAAACTGACTTGGTGGTTTGAAATAACATGGTTTGACACATGCCAAATTAGGTGGAGGTTTGAACTTGCAATTGTATAATTGTACATCTCACCTGCCACATGCAATCCTTTGAGGTTTGCCGCCCGTGTGAATTTAAACCCTTGGCCAGGACATTTCTGAAGAGGTATGCACAGCGGCGCGAGGAATTGTTGGAGGAGAGGGCAGGCCACAATTGTGAAGCCTTGCGCGACATTAAGACATTCATCGGGCAGTCCCTGCAGAATCGGCGGTCAATCGAAGAAGTTTGCCGTTGCTCAGACACCGGGGTGAACTTGAACGAAGTGCTACTTTTCCATGGATCTCCCAATGGAAAGATCAATGGGATTTTGAATGGTGGATTTGACCCTCGATATGCTGGTCTTGGCACTGGTGCTATGTTTGGGCAAGGGAGCTATTTTGCCCACAACGCCTCGAAGTGCTTCCGTTATGCTGGTGACAGCACCACAGACCCCGGAGGCTTGCGGCAGAGTGTGCTCGTCGTCAGGGCTTTGCTGGGCAATCCGCATTACCAACAACACATGTGCCCAGATCGCAGGATGCCACCCGCCAATACCCACTCAGTGGTGGCCTTGACCAAAGCTGAAGGTGGATGTGTTGATCATCGCGAGTACGTATTGTACGAGAAAGCTGCCATTCTGCCACTCTACCTCATTGAGTTCCAGCACTTGCCGGATTGTGGATGCCTCATGTGCTGTGTATGAGCTTGGCTTTGTCAACTCTAGGCGGGCCTGGTTTGGGACAATACCTCCAGTCTCGTGGTAGCTCAAGTAAAAGCAACCAAACCACAAAGCTCACGAAGTCCAAGTGGCACTCAAAGAACACGTTCAAAGAACGGACCTGGATCTTTCTGTCGCGGGCGAACCTGCGGGTGTCGTGCCTGAAGGCTGACATAGGCTGACTCAAGGGCCCTATTTGACCCGAAAGATGGCATCGGATGATGCACCTGTGCAAAAGGGACATGGAAGGTGTCCACACTCATGAAATGCATTCAGTGAACGCTAGCTTCATTGTCACCGGTGGAAAATCATTGTCACCGGTGGAAAATTCTAAATTTCGAAAAACATTCAAAAGGGGCCCATCAGGTGGTCTTCACGTCGTTCGCCCTTCAGCGAATCATGGGGTAGAAATCGCTATGGAACTCGTGAGCTCCATGTTCATGCGGCTGGGCAGCCACAAACTTGTTCCTTCCAAGAGAAGGATCGAACGTCAATGGTGTCTGACAAATTTTGTCATGCACCTCAAAAAAGCTCAGCCGCATGATCAAATTCTCCTCATAGGTGGCCTCATCCCTTTCTTTCCTTTTCATGCTCACATGTTGTCCAGCGTCGTAGACAAACTTCAAGCACCGATTGAAGAGCCGATGCCAGCGAGCAATTTCCTCATCAGTCACGTGGAGCGTGTTGTCCAACTGATTGGCTTCCATGAGCCGCTTGATGCGGGAGTTGGTGAAGTCTTCGTTCACAATCATGGTCCTCGTGTGGATGTCGATCTCCTTGTTGCGGAAATCCTTGGCTTTCGTCAGTCGGCGCATCCAGAAGCTTTGAGAAGGCTCCTCCTGCACTGACACCTTGATGCGCTGCCATCTTGACCATTCCACATCATCCAAATCAGATTCCTCATTCACTGAGGAGCTGCCAGCAGTATGTTGGGGTGTTGTCTCAACATCAGGCTCAGGCTCCATTTCATCATCCACATTCATTTCGTCCGCTGGGGCGTTATTCTCCTGGATCTCATGGCGTCGAGATGCCTCATTGACCTCAGGAACAGCATTCTCTTCAGTCACATTCTCGATGACCTGGGGTTTCAACCAGGTGCACACATACGAAATGACCTTGTGGAGGTGATCCTTCAGGTTGAAGTACAAACAAAGAAGCAAGATGAGGAGGGTGCAAAAACACTTCAACATGTCACCTTCATCGATCTCAACGTGGATTTGCAGTGCCTCGGACTTGGGCAATGACTCCATGGTCAGGAGGCCACATGTTGCTATTGCCGTCCTTCGCCGTTCATCATCAACATGAAGTTCTCTTCGATGGCGATGCTTGTAAAAGTGTCGGCGGCTGCAGTACTTCTCGTTGCCACGCTTCTTGTCAATCACTTTTCCACACCCAGGGAGTGAACAGAGCGCCTCATCGGTGACGGTCTCACCAAAAAGTGCTTCACCAAACAACTGCTTTGAAGCTTCTTCATGTTCTTCACGTTCTTGATCTCGAAGCTCTTTGTCAACTTTCTTTGCAGCTGTATACATGGGGTCGTACTTCAGCTGGTGCACATTCCTTCGCAGTTGCTCAGCAAAGGTGTCTCTGGCCGTGGGCTTAGTCAAGCCGTCGGCAAGTTGCTGAGCCGAATTGACCCATCTCCAGTGGCCGTGAAGTGCTTCAAGACGTTCACGAACAATGGTGACCTCAATGGCCGTCCGCTTCTCTGAAAGCCGAAGACCTGAAGAGACAGATCGTGCAGCATCATACAGTGACTTCGCGTCGGTGATGAGAGGGGATTCACCAAACATGGCCATGGTCTCATCAGTGGAGATGTCGATGAGGGGGTTCACCATTGCTGCAGCAAACACTTTCAACCATTCCAACTCATCAACGGCAGCCGATGCGGCCTGAGATTCAGCTGAAAGCGATGACCTGCACATTCGGGTGAGTTTGCGGCTCTGCCAGTCGATGATGGTCAAGGCCATGGGCTTCTCAGACATCAGTTCACTCTCGGAGGCGGCGAAGATCAAGTAGCCACCCTGAGACGAGCCGTCAGGTCGAACGCTCCAGGATGCATCAGTGTAAGCTCCAAACCGAAGCTCCTCCAAACAACTGCCATGCTTGCGAAGTGTCAATGCAAAGCTCTGAACAACTTCCTTGGCATAGCGTAACACCTTATTGGCAGTCAGAAGGTCTTGAACTGCAGGAGAGCTTGAGCTGGCTTGGAGGATGCTGGTGGAAGCTGAAAGTTGAGGCAAACATTGGCCGGCAGGCCATGCCAAAGCGCCGATGATGGCTCTCAGGGTTCGATGCTCCTTCTCATCGAGCGGTGCATCCGGAGTGGCCTTTCTGGTTTTCTCCAGTGTGGCAGGCTTCAACCGATGGATGTAGTCCTTGAGGGAGAGGGTGATCTGGTCCCAGTTCATGCCCTGCCTCACTTCAGTGCCACAAAACAACATGTGACCTTTTTCACCAAAGTCCCAACTGCCAAACCGGAAACGACGAGCCAGGAGCCTCAAGCGGGCTGCGAAACAGTTTGGGATCTCTTCCTGGGTCCCGTCAACCTTGACATCATTGGGGCTGTTGATGCCCTCACCTGCACCGATGAAATCATCCACGCGCAAGCCAAGGTAGCCGTCCACAATGAGCGCTTCATGGTCATTGTTGTGGAAGACCTGGAAGGGAGGGTCGTCTTTCGTGGCGGCTCTTGTGCTCAAATAGATGCACCGGTCTAGTGGATGATGGATCATCAACAATTCCTCGATCAAGTAGTGGTCGGCCGTCTGGTACCACTGCCGTGGAGCACGAATATCTCCAAAGGCCTTTTTGGTGGCCTTCAACACTTGATGATCTCGGAGACCCATCATGGTCGCAAGTCGTTTCCTCATGTCAGAGGAAGGTTGGATGTAGATGCGGGTCTCCTTGTCGATGGAATCGCTTTGCATGAAGGCTGACTTCACATCGGCGCTGAACAGCTTCATCTGTAGTTGGCAAGTCCACTGCATGATCAACATACGACCAACTCTTGACAACGTTGGACTCTCTTTCTCAAGCTCGCTTTCCAGGACATCACGATGTCGGAATCCCTGGATGATGACTCTGCAGTTGGCGACCTTGCCATCTTTGGTGGATTTCCACCTTTGAAGCATGCGTGCCGGAACAAGTTCACCTTCTTGGGCTTCGGACCGATCTACAGCACGCCAGGCCTGATTGTCAATCCAGACCTGAAGGGCCTTGTTCTTGGCCTCGCTGAAGGCTTGCTTGTCCTCTGCAGACAGGTATTTTTCGTTGATGGTGTCTGCGATCAACTCCTCATCGATTGTCTTCATGTACGAGAGGAAGCGAGGATCGTTGACTTCCACTTGAGGCATGCCATCCAGCTTTCGCACAAGGTTGTAAGACCTTAGTGCTGCTTCTTTTGGAAGAGGACTTCGAGACCTTTCACGCCTCTCATTTGCCATTTCCCTTGGAGGATCTTCCTTGGTATGTATCTGCAGCGGCGGATGTTCTGCTGCTGCCGATGTTTGTATCTGCGGCTGCTGCGGTGTGTTGGGTTCGTGGCTGCTGCTGTTTGTGTCTGCTTCTGCTGGTGCTTCATCGTTTTCCAAGGGAATGGTCTTATCAGGTTCCTCGTCCATGCCATTCGGTTCATCGTCACCAGGCTTCTCCTGTTCGACATCCATGGGCCCGGGGGCAGCAGGAATGTGTTGAGAGGTGTCAGACGAACTGGGTGCCCCAAGGTTCAAAAAACGAACAGGCCCCCGCACAGGACGGAGAGCTTGAAGGACTTGCTGTTGGAGAGGGCGAGCAGCAATGGTCTCAGGCATTTGCTCCATGCGAGCCACAGTCTCGCGAGGATTCTCCAGCCGGACATGTTCAACAGCGGCTCGAACCAAACTTGCACCATGAGCCAACCACACGCAGGTGGTACGACCAGAGTTGGGCGAAGGTTCCAACATGCAAATGATGGCAGGACCTTTCCATCGCTGAACTTGAAGTTTTTCATCAGTTGTCCTCCAGTAGTATGCCCATTGTCCAACTTCGAAAGGAGGTGCCTCGGAGCGAGGGCGACCAAGCAAAGCGCGTCGTAGAACTTGATCATGATTGGCTTCATAGAAGCAACGAGCTGCAGTCAAACGCAGTGCATGGTCCTCTTGAATGGCCGTAGGCAGATCAGGACGATTGTCGCACGGCTCATCCAGCAATCCTTTGGGGTGTTGTGGAGCTTGTCCAAAACGATGTGACTTGGAGACGTGCCATGGATGGAGCGCAAGCGATTGCGCTGTTGGCAAGCCAAGATGACGGCTCGAGAGAGGTCCAAGGTCGGAAAGTCACGTTTCATCTTCAACAACTGGAGTCGTCGGACAGCATGAAGTCGTTCCACAATCCCCATTTTGTAGTGAGCCTCTTTTGGAACCAGCAGTAACTTGACACCAAAATCATTCAACTTCTGCTGGTATGATTCGGACATGTGTGCCCCAGAGCTGTCAGTTTTGATCTTCTCGGGTGCTCCAAAGATCTTGAACCATTGATCTTCCAGGATTTTCAGCTCTTCCTCCTCCGTCTCCCTTTTCATGAGCGCATTGATCTCATAGCGGGAGAACACATCAATTGCAGCCAGGATCTTGTATTTCTTGTCGTCCCACTTGATGTGGAAGATGTCGATTTCCATCAGCTCATTGAAGTGACCAGCCTGCGGAAGTGAGGATGGCTTTGGTATCTTCTTTTGGACATCTGAAGAGCAATTGCTGCAAGTGAAGTTCTTTGCCACCTCAATCACTTCATCACGAAACTTGGCATCACGAAGAGCCAGGCAGAGCTTGTCATTTGAAGGATGGCCCAATTGACGATGTAGCTTGCTCACAATTTGGTAGGCCTTCTTTCCATGCGTTTTCATCAGCTCTTTGTCCTCAGGACTGATTTCCATTTTGTTGTCTTTTGTTTTCTCCTGCTCAATCTCCATGTCGTTGAGCTCCTCCGAGACCAAAATCTTCACCATT